TAAACTGTATAGCCACTATACAGTGATTATATAAACGTTAATTGATGTTTACTAATAAACATTACCTAACTACAAGTCAGACTTCAACTGTACATGTGAACATACATAGTTGAGGAATGGAATCAGAAATTCAGGACTTCACTCTGGAAGTAAGTCTCTTGGACTTCAAGGCACAGTCTCTTGAAACACAAGGCACTAAAACTGGGGACTATTTGTAGCAAGGCTTACAAAATGAGACATTCACAATTGGGGTATCTTTACTTTTTTTCTTTTCAGTGCTGCGTATTAAACCCAGGACTTGACACATGCTAGGCAAGTACCACTGAGCAGCAGTGACCCCAGTTAGGGGTTCTGAATGAAGTTCTTGAGATAATCCTTTTTTTGGTGGTGGTGGTACTGGGGTTTGAACTCAGGGCTTCACACTTTCTAGGCAGACACTCTACCAGCTCTGTTTTTGTGTTGGGTATTTTTGACATAGGGTCTTATGAACCATCTGCCCAGGTTGGCTTTGAACCTTGAGCTTCCTGATCTCAGCTTCCTGAGTAGCTGGGATTACAGGTATGAGCCACAGGCACCGGGCTAGCTTTTGAGATAAATCTTGAAGGCTTTCCTCAGATGTAGATAACTTTGTCAGTAATCTGAGTCAACTTGTCTTCTCTAGCCTGGACTTTCTGCCTAATTAGAGAGGCCTTTTAAGGTTCAACCAGCTTTTATTCCTAATAAGATTAAGTGCTTGCTAAACAACTGAGCAACTACATAAGTACCATGTTCCACCAAGAATTCACTCTAGAAAGCATGAAGGCTCTCCAGAGCTCATGGCTAACCATGGTTTCCACTCTCTTCAAAACTCTAGTAAGTACATGATGTACAAATCCTGTAAGGAACCACACTAGACAGTTTACACCACCAACTGCAACAATTCTGACGGATGAACACAAAGAGACATAGAAAAACCATAAATGCACATGTAGTCAAACAAGGAATAGTCAGCCATCTTAAGGTAAAGGTACAAAAGAAAAAAAAAAGTCTTTATTTCACTTGGAGTCCTGAGAAAGAAGGAAAGCAAAAGGAAAGTTTTAAGAAGTAAACTTTCTCCTCACAAAGTTTCCATAAAAATGTACATACATTTGCCATCAAATCCAACTGGATGGACGCAGTGGCTCACAGCTGTAATCCCAGCTACTTGGGAGACAGCGATCCAGAGGATCCAGGTCTGAAGGCAGCCTAGGTAAAAAGCAAGATCCTATCTGAAAAAATAATTAAAAGCAAAAAGGGGTGGGGATGTGGCTCAACTGGCAGAATGCTAGCAAGCATGAGGCTCTGGGTTCAAGATTCCCGTGCTATTGAAAACAAAGACTATTTAATCAGGTCTGGTGGTCTGACTGTTCCTTGTTTGACTCCATGTGCATTTATGGTTTTTCTATGTCTCTTTCTGTTCATCTGTCAGAATTGTTGCAGTTGGTGGCGTAAACTGTCGAGTATAGTAAGAAAACGAAGTAAAATAAAAATTCCCTCAGTACAGAAACCTGAAACAAGTCTTTTTCCTTAATGTGAACAAAAAGCTTAATCTGCAAAGGTCTGCCGCATAATAGTTTAATCCAAAAGCTCTTTACTTAACCTAGTACACATCCAATAACCAAAGCAGCTTAAAAAAATAAAAAACAAACAAAATATGTGGTAGGTACTTTACAAATACAGACTGCTCTGTGAGAATATGACATCAGAATGGGGTTTGAACTCAAGGCCTCACACCTGCTAGGCAGGTGCTGTACCACTTGAGCCATGCTCCAGTCCATTTTTGCTTTAGCTGTTTTTCAGATAGAGGCTCACTTTTATGCCAAGGCCAATCCAGACTGGATGACTCCTGAGTAGCTAGGATTGCAGGCATAAGCCAATGAATGCATTGTGCAATATTCGAATTTTAAGATATAGAAATAATGCATTATCAAAAGTCACATATAAACAATTTTCCACGGGAAAATGGAGGTAGAGGAAGACAAAGGAATTTCAAGTTACAATAAAAATTATTTTTTTCTTCCGGAATATCAATAATAAAGGCATGTTTTTGATTATAAGGGTATACTATAAAATCTAAACAATGTTTTGGTCAGAATGGAATTAAAGTAGAAATCATTAAAAAAAGTAGAAAATATCCAAGAAAAGTTTGAGTATACCTGCTCAAAAGTCAAAAAGTTCCAAATCCAAAACTTTTTGAGTGGCAACATGACACCACAAGAGGTATATTTCATACCTGACTGTATATGACAGGAGCAGTTAAAACGCAGGCACACTAAAAATATCATTTAAAATTACCTACATGTATAACAGCCTAAATGTATAATATGCATATGAAACAAAAATTACTTTCATTTTAGACTTGGGACTTATGCCCAAGATATCTTATATGTATGCAAATATTCCAAAACTCCCCAAAAATCTGAATTCTGAATTCTGGTCCTAAGCACTCTGAATAAAGGCTACCCAACCTGTACTTCTAAATAATTCATGAATTAAAGACAGTCACAAAGAAAATCAGAAATAGCTTGGACTGAAAGAAAATGAGGAACATATTAAAATTTGTGGAATACATCTAAGTCTCCGTCTATATTTATATAATTAAATCCTTATGTTAGAAAGGCATCAAGTCAATGATCTAAGCTTCCACATCAAGAAACTAAAATAGAAGCAAATACAACCAAAGCAAGCATTAGAAAGGAAACAACAAGAACAGAAATTGATGAAACTGAAAACAAAAACAAAAGGGAAAAAATTCAGTGAGACTAAAATCTGGTATATTGAAGATAAAATTAATAAATCTCTAGACAAAATGACCAAGAAAAAAAAGACACAGATTATCAATAACAGGAATGAAAATGAGACATTACTATAGACCATGACAAGCACTATGCACATAAATTCAACAACTTAGATAAAATGCATTAACCAAAACTCACTCTCAACAAACAGGCAATGTGAGTACTCCTATTATCTACTCATGAAACCAAACTTATAGTTAAAAACTTAAAAAAATTATAAACAAACAGTCTTGGAACTACTGCAAATAGGAACCATCTTACTGGATTCACAGAGAAGATCTAAAGACTTTTCATATTTTAATATAACTGCATTCATTCATTCAGTGGCTTTATAACTCAAAAGTTACCTTGTTTGCTATAAATACTCTGGTATTGATGGTGACAGAAAATATACATACCGTGCTGTGTTTAACTCAGTTTTTATCAAGACTTTTTGATCTCTCATTAATGTGGATAGCGACCACTCAAGTATCTGCGTTTATCAAAGATACTTTATATTTATAGAGTGAATTATTAATGATGTAAGAAATCAAGAGAATTACTTGAATAATGGTTAAATCCTACAAAGCAGGACAATTCTCACAACTGAAGTGATCCTTGAAAGTTGTGTAATAACAAGTATTTACTATTATACTGCATATTGAAAAGTGCTAGAGAAATATAAGACTGAGCCATGTGAAATTGCCAATCACCAACTGGCTAAACCTAGAACAATGTAAGCATTCCTTATTTTATATGATTCAGCCTTCTCCAGAATGCTAGTCAGTTTATCACAATTATTTTCAATGCTGAATGATGTTTATTCAGCATTTACCAAACTTATTCAGATTTTTCACAAACTGGTTGTTTGCCAATCTAGGATGTGAACACATAACAAGGAGTACTTAACACGGCTACAGAATCTTCTACTTTTTAGGGGACTGCTATTTTAAATTCTTTTTAAAGAAGGAATCTTGTTACCAGGAACATGGATTCACCATGAATTAGGGTTAAAGATCCAGCAAGGCTCAAACTATTAAAAAGAAAAAGAGAAGGCGGGCTGAGACACAATCTTGGTTCAAAGCCCTTTCATAGGTTCCTGTCTCACTGAGTCAAAGCCCTAGAGGCCTTTTCTGACTCTTTCCCCACCCTCTACTCCAGCCACTTGGGCTCCTTGCTATTCCTCAAAAACACAAGTACACACCTCCTCAGTCTGTGTTAACTGTTTCTTTCTAACAAGAATGCTCTTTTCAAATATATCCAAGTGGCTCACGTCCCCTCATCTTCTCAAAAGGGTCGTCTCACCAACCTGTTCAACTAGTACCCCTACTGCAAGCAACGTAAGTTTTCCCTAGTTTACTACCTGTCTTCCCCAACAGAATATAAACTACAAAAGGAGACAAGGCCTTTGTTATATTATTCACTGCTTAATCTCCAGAGCCTAGAACAGTAAGAGGCTCTCCTAAGACTGCAGAACAAGATGTTGCACAAAGATAGTCTATATGCCTCCAATTAAAACTTGTGTCACAAATACCAAAAAGGGCTAAGAAAACGGTTTGCAGCCCTGCATGCTCTGCTACATAGAATGAAGCAAGTATCCTTTAGAAGAAAATCCTTTATTAAAAACAGACTGAGTGGCAGACGACAATAATGAATAAATTCCTAAAGACGAAACTTGAATGCTAAGTGCACACAGGTTGTGATCCTGCTGGTACTGAATGCTCTGGTTAATCACACAAGACGTTCCCTAAGCTATTTATTTGCCCAGAGATCTAGAAAGTCTAGCTCAAAATTCTTAAGGGAAAACAGAAACGTTGTTAACGCATGAGTGCTATGCAGTGATTAGGAAATACAGAATCCCCGAGCTCAAACTTCACAGTACCAAATACTCCAAATCGGAGTAGTGTCTGCCTCCTAGAGACACCGGGAGAGGAAGACTGCACCCCCTTTCCTTGGCACCCGGCTTGAGTACAGGACTCAGTCCCCGGGGACGCGGGTTCAGGAGGAAATGGCCAGGCTCCGGGGAGGGCGTGAAGGTGCACACGGGTCACACTCCTCTACGTTCATTTTCTCGCAATGGAGAAGGGTCACTGGACTGCGTCTCCCGGTTCCCAAAAAGGCTCCGGGGAGGGTTGGCGAGGACGGCCCCCTCCCCCTCGCCAAGGCAGACCCGGCCCCGGCAGCTCTCCCCAGTCTCCGGCTCACCCGGCTCCCGGTTGATCTCGATGTCGAAGTGACACTGCGGCCGGTCCTGCGCCCCCATCGCGACCGAGGTGGCTGCAAGAGCTGGGAGAGAGGAGGGAGGAAAGCGGTCAGGGTAAGGGCGGGGGCGGGGCCGGGGCGGAGTCCGCGACACGGGAGCCTCGCGCGGGCCTGTCGCGACAGCGCGGGAGGCCGGGAGCAGGGCCCCTCCCGTCCCGGGCCTCCGGGTTCCCACGCAGCACGCACACACATGCAGACGAGCTCTTCACCTGGTTGGCCTCCAGACTGAACAGCCCCCCAGTTAGCAGAGGAGAAAGCACTGCCACCGCCACAACAGGCCAAGGTCCGTAACGGAACGACACCTCCCCTTGCCCGGCTTCCCAGTGCCACGCCAAATCCCGCGAGGGTCCAAACAAATATCGCGAGAACTCAATCTCGCAGGGGGCGGGTGGTTAACCGAAGGGGGCGTAGAGGCGGCTCGCGAACGTGGGCGTGTCTGGGCACTCTGAAGAAACGTCCAGCGGGGTGCGGCTCTAGGTGAGTGGATCCCTTTTGTCCCGCCCTCTGGTGCCAGTCGCCCAATCAGGATGGCTTGGACGCACTTGAGCTATCTGGTGCATCAGTCCTCTGGGCTGTGAGCTGCCGCGCTTTTCCTCTTAGCTCGCGAGATTGCCTTGTGGCGAGGGTTGTGAATGAGTGTGTGGCTTGTTTGAAGCTTCAGCCCACGTGGCATTTTGGCCTAGTTCCTTTTTCTCCAGAGATAGTTGTTGGAAATGTTTGTCTCAGGTTAAAAGCCATTTAAACTGAGGAGTGCGTTCGTTCCGTGTTTTGACATCAGTGTCGCTGGGATAGTTATATGTGCTTACCGTCCATTCCACGTCTTTCGTGTACTGTCAGTTCCTAACTATTTTGGCCATTTTAAAATCTAGATCCTTGCCTTACTACGGTGTTCTGATACAAATATTTTAGTACAAAACACATGTATGCTTTGAATATAAATCTTTTGTTACATATATAAGTATGAATATCCCAATCCGGGCCGTGACGTTTAGTTGTTTGTGTCTTTCTCCTATGTTTCCATCTGGTATTTATATACGTTTTAGCAAGGATTTATTTTAGTATAACAGGATAAAGTATAGACAAGGGGGAGAGAGAAAAAGAAACATTTCCTGTTCCCCACACAGGAAATGGGAGCAAAGACTCCTAAATTTTTAACTTTTATATTTAAACCTAAAGTCTTAGAATTTATGCTTATCGTGTTAGGTAGTAAGTCGTCGGGGTTCGCATTTTCCTGTAAGGATTTCCTGTCATTCCATCACCATTTGTTGAAGACAGTCTTATCTCACCTTGACTTTGTGACCATATATGTGTGTACTTATTTGTGACTCTTGTTTCATTCATCTATCAGGGCCACATTGTTTTTTAAATTACTTTTTCAAATTGTACAACATGCATTACATAAAGTTTACCATTTTAACCAACATTAGTATTAAGTACATTCCCATTGTGGATTTTACCATCACCACCATCCATCACAGAACATTTTTCATCGTGTAGAACCAGAACTGATGCCCTGTGTCCATTAAACAAGTCATTTCTCCCTTCCCTGAGCCTGACAAGTACCCTTCTACTTTTTTTTTTTTTTTTGGTAGTATTGGGGTTTGAACTCAGGGCATAATGCTTGCTAGGGAAGTACTCTACTACTTGAACCATGCTCCAGCCTGTTTTTGCTTTAGCTATTTTTTGAATAGGGTCTCATATTTTTGCCCCGGTCCAGCCTCTGACCTCAGTTCTCCCACCTAAGTAGCTGGGATCACAGGCATGCACCAATATGCCTGGCCCCAAGTACCCTTCTATTTTCTATATGAATTAATCTATTGCAAGTACTTCATACAAGTAGAATCATACAGTATTTGCCCTTTTGGTTCTGGCTGATTTCACTTAGCATAACAGCATAATGTCTTCAAATTACATCCATGTTATTGCATGTTGAAATTTTCCTTTTTTCCACCTAGTGTTATGAATTGAACCCAGTGCTTGTATACTAGGCAAGCATTATACCACTGCCCCCAAATTCTTTTTTGGGGTCATCTTGTGTATATATACCATATTTTGTGTATGCAACAATGAACAGTTAGGTTGCTTCCACTTTTTGGCTTTTGTGAGTAGTGCTACTATGAACATATATCCAAATATCTCTCTGATACACTACTTTCAAACCTTTTGGGTATTTGCCCAAAGTTGGAATAGTCAGATCATCAGCTAAATCTATTTTTAATGTGTTGAGGAGCCACCATAGTTTTCCATAGCAGCTACGCTATTTCATGTTCCTATCAGCAGTGTACAGAGTTGCACCTCTTCACTAACACTTGTTATTTTCTTTTTTAAAAATAATCTTTATAGCTATAAAGTGGCATGCTATTTTTATTACTGTACCTTTATAGAAAATTTCAAAATCAGGTTAATTTAGATGGATTTCTAAAATGTTTCTGTACCTGTTGCTCCTGTGTAAAGTGCAGTCAAATCTTTGGCACTTAACACAGCATCACAGAAGTGCTGTCAGTCTCAGAGCTTGTCAGTTTTAAAAGTCCAGTATCTCTATCAGAGGAACAATCTCTTGGTTTAATGTCTGTAACTCAGGCTTAATTAAGAAATGAGTGATTGTTATGACTTGGATCTTAAGTATCCCCAAAGGCCATGTGTTGAAGGCTTGGTCACCAGTCTGGGGCACTATTGGGAGGTGGTTGAACCTGTAGGAGGTTGAACCTTTAGTGAAAGGAAGTTAGGTCACTGGGGGTCTGTTCTTGAAGAAGATACTGGGACCTTGGCCCCTTCTCTCTCTCTCTCTCTGTCTCTCTGTCTCTCTCTCTCTCTCTCTCTCCCTCTCTCTCTTTCTCTCTCCCTCTCTCTCTCCTCACTGGCTGCTATGAGATGAGCAGCTTTGCTCCACCACCTGCTCCCTGCCATAATGTTCTGCCATGCTACAGGCCCCAAAACAATGAATCCAAGCAGGCATGGGCTGAAATCTCTAAAACCATGAGCCAAAATAAGCCTTTCCTCCTTGTAAGTTGATTTTCTCAGGTGTTTTGTCACAGCAATGGAACACTAACACGGTGGTTCTAAAGCTAGTTTTGTTGACAGCATTACAGTTAACCATTGATAAGTTTGAAAAAAATTAACTGTAAATGTGTTTCTGGAGATGAACTGTATTGGTAAAGCTAACTGTCGTACATAGATTAGTGACAGAACGAATGGGGAATATTCCCCCCCCTTTGCCGTTACTGTGTTTGGGACAGCAAGCTTCAGCGTGAGTGGGCTGTGGAGCTCAGGAGTGAAGTACTTAATTTGGGGTGTACTTTAAATCTCCTGGAATTCATTGTTATCTTGACACTCCAGTAAAGTCTCGTTCTTGCCAGTGGTTTTATGAAAAATCACTCTGATCTCCTTAGTGTTCAGTTTTTTCATCTGTAAAATAAGTAGAAGGAAATGCCATCTATCTCACATTCTGCACTTGCTCAAAGATTCTTTCATTCTGTCCTGTGAGTTGAAATAATGTAGATGATTTGAAGATAAAGGGTATTATTTGGTCTGGGTTAAGGTTAAGAAACTGCTGGGATAAGGCAAGCCTCAGACTGGAATCCACCCAAAGCCCCTTCTCCCATCCCCAAGAGTGGTAGAAAATTGGTATCCAAGGAGTTTACAAACTCAGGCTTAATTTGGCCATGATTACCATGAAGGAGAACCCTTGGTAGGAGGAATTTTCAGGTAATGATTCTGGGTATTTAGCCTCTAAGAGTGGAGTCACATGAGCAGTTGAAATTTAAGGGCCAAACTAATCAGGAATGCTAGTGGGGAATCTTAGATGAGATAAGTAATTTCTTTACCCCCCCCCTCCAGATTATTTTGTGAGCAAATTTAATCATACCCTCAAGGAAAAATAGTCCCTTTTCAATTAAAATATTTCAGAAAGAAGAAAAAGAGAGCTACCTAAATTTAGTTTTGTGATATCAAGACCAAAGAGAAAAAAAAAAAGACAAAGACAGTACAAGAAATTTATAGAACAATTTCATTATGAATTTAAAATTCAAATAGAATATTAGGAAATCGAGTTTAGCAGTATTCAAATTCCAAAATGTTTGTGACCTAATTGCCTTTAGCTCAGGAATACAAAAATGATTCAACATCAGAAAATATGTATCTGCAGTTTGCCACATTAACAGATTAAAGAAAAGGTATACAGTTATTCCAGTGTATGGTTTTTTGGTTGTCAGTTTTTTGCCTGTCAGCTCTGAATGCTCCCTCATTATATGCTCTTTTTTTTTTTCTTTTCTTTTCTTTTTGAGACACAGTCTCACTACATAGCCCAGGATAGCCTGAAACTAACTACATAGCCCAGACTGACCTTCTGAGTTCTGGTATTACAGGTGTGTACCACCATGTGCAGCTCACTATATCCTCTTTTATACATACTTCAGCTTCAAGCAGGGATCCCTTCGCCAACCCCTCTGGCTCTGAAAGTAGCTTCTGCATTTTTTTAACTTGAGGGACAGAGAAGAGAGGTGAATGAAAGGAGAGAATGGGACTACATTGAGAGCACACATATACAATATCTACTTTGTTGGCTTATACCATTTTAAATATAAAAGGCTAGCCTAATGTTTATATAGATTTTTTTCTTAAACCTTGGAAATAAACTTTTCCAAGTTTATTTTTTACTTTTTGTCTCTCAACTTTGTCTATTTTTTTCATGGAAAAAAGGAGTAACTTAGTTTCAATATTGAAGACTGAAGTTTTTAAAGAAAAAATTTAAATTCAAGGCACTTTTCTTTTAGGATTCAGTTAAGAAAGTATTTAGGCTTTCCAACTGTCAACAGTATTGATAAGACTGTTGATAACTATGGGTGAGTGTGTATTGTTTATGCTTTTGCATTGAAGGACATTGAAGGCTATGATTACCATCTTTTATGTGCCACAGGACATGACTTTCATTGAGCACAAATGGGAGTCCTGTAGTTACTACTTACCTCTATTTACAAGGCCTTGAGCTTGTTTTAAACAAACCTGGGAAAGTGGGACCTTTTGAAAGATGAACTTTTAAATACAAGTCATCTGCCAGCTCAGGGTTTGTCTCAAACTAACAAAGAATTGCAGAGATTACTAACTTTTGTAAAACATTGGCTCCTAGTAAAAATTCAAGTTTCAAAAACATTCAATGTTGAAATTTCTATGGGACTCTTATTTTTTCTTCAGCTTCCTGTTGACAGTGAGTATAGAGGAAGCACCTGTCGTCCACCAAGCTTGTGTCTCTTCCCCCTGTATAGATGTTAAGCAACCAAGAGAATTTGCAAACTAAAGACCTTAGTCATCCATTAGGAAATGAGACTAAGATTGTTTAGCCTTATTTTCCATAACACAAAAGAAAAAGAAACAAGTAAAATTGCCATTTCTTCTGAAAAGAAAAAGCATTGTTCATCCAGGGAGGA